AGCAAATGGCATTTCGGTATCAAGAAGTATTTCTAAAAGTTCTGTTCTAATTATGAAACATAATTTCATCATTTAATAAATACATCCTTCCAAGTATAACAGTTTGAAAATTCGTTTACATGATTCATTCATTTGATATTCTTTCAACGGTTTATATCATATATTATATATTGATTTTTTTAAGTTTTGCTAAGTGTTGGTGAGTTATTGTATATTTCGAGAGCCTTGGCCATGAATACATGTCTTTGATAATTATAAACATATGAAGTACTATTTAAGAAGAATTAATTATTAATTAATTAATTAATTAATTAAGAAGGTATTTTCTAACGTTACATGCCAGGTTTTCGGAACAGAATCATTTTTTGACGTTAAACATGCCTTGAGCAGCGTCTTTCCCGTATTTACGGACATATGCACTACGTTACGTATATTTGAATTACGTTATGTATCCGCAAGTGTTAGAGCGAAACATAAAACGTTTTCCTTCTACTAGTATTAACAGTTTTCAGAGTGTTATCACTAGCCAAAAAGTAATACCTTTATGTTACCTTTCTAATTTAATGTCTGTAACTTTTTAATAAGCTAAGTAATTTAAAAGGGATAAAGACTTTTTTAATAATGCCAATCTTTCGTTTATTTCTTTGAAAATATATCAAGTAGACATCTAATTTGCAACGCAAACCATCTATTAATTTTTGTGAACATATGCAGCTTTGCTACTACTGAAAGATAATTCTGACGCCATATATTACCTCACTGGTACAAAATTGCTTAGTTACACCAAGAAGGAGTAATACTTTTTTTTTAATGCAAAGTAAATTTTTGTTTTCTAGTTGCCATAAAAGAAACGTCTGGTTGACAGTTTTCTACTTTCTTGGCCACAGATTTTCAAACTTTTATTCTCTATGGAATTTATTTTTTGAAAATAATTTACAAGAAAAGTTATAAAGTAAACTCCTAACGTAGAAAGACATAACTTTAAATCTTTACACTTTTAGGTAAGTAACAGCCTCCTACATTGTTTGTTCTTATACACTATTTAGTTCGTTTCCTGTCTAATAAGAAACAACCATAACGTTTTACATAATTTCATTCTAGAGGCAGATTGTCTATATATTTAAATATCACATTCACAAATTTAGTTATAAAATCTTCTGTTTTTTATAAATAAAAACTGATAAAAAATTTCTCCAGCTAAATAAGCACCTATTACACTTTTATGAAGAAATACAAATTACAACAGAAAATTTACAGTTTGTGGTTACAGTTTCCATATACTAAATAAGTTTATATGGGAACTTGACGGTAATAGTTTATAATTTAGTTTTTAGTATTGGCAACATTGCTGTTATTTACTTATAAATGATTATAGAGTCCATTAATAATGAAAGTTTTGCGTTTTGAAATGTTCTGGCTATGGTGAGTATTCTTTAATAATGTTGTGTTCATTTGTTTCTTTCTAAGGATTATTTTTAAAATGTTTGATACTTAGAAATGTAAAACTTTAAAAAGTATGTCAAACTGAGCAGGGATGTCAAACTCATAGGTACACTTGGGCCAAACAACAAGGTTTAACTTTAGGCGGGCCGAAAAAAAAAAAAAAAAAATCAATATTTATAGAAACGTAGATTTATGTCGAATAATACAATAACAAACATATATATATATATTTATATAGAAAAGAACAAGAAAAATTTAATGTTTTACGTCCTGATACTTGACATCTCTTCTCTCTGCTATTATCTTTCCTATTTCGGGAGAAATTTTGTTTGCAGTGATAACTTTCAACGCTGACCCAAGGTGAGCATCATTAATACGGTTTCTAATAGGAGACTTATTACCTTTCATGACTGAAAATAACTGCTCGCACCGATAAGTGCTACCAAACATGGAAATAATTTTCGAGTATTTTCAAATCTGGCTGGTAAATATTTGTAAAATTCAGGCACGCCCACTTCAATGAATTTTGCTTTCAAATTTGAGTTGCATTGAATCTCGATGACCTCCATTTGCATATGGCTGGGTACTGAGTCAATACATATTGAGAAAATCGAAGGAAAAAAAAAATTGTCTTCGAGGGAACTAAAATCATTAAACCTCGTTTCAAATTCAGTTGTTAAATTTGCAATTTTTTCTGCGTATTTTTGATACGAACAAGTATCATCTAAACTTGATTTTCTCATGCTGCACGTCGGGAAGTGCGTCAAATCTTCATTTTTAAGTTGTTTTTCCCAAAGAACTAGTTGACATTTGAATGCTTTAATTATGTCAAACATGTTCGTAAGGATATGATCTTTTCCTTGTAACGATAAATTTAAATCGGTTAAGTGTTTTGGTTATATCAACCAAGAAAGATAAATCTTGTATCCGATATTGGATCGTAAAACAAACTTACGTCTTGATTTTTCGTTCTTAAAAACTGACATAGTTCTTCTTTCGAATCCTAGAATTGTTTGAGAATCTTGGAGCAAGATAACCAACGTACCTCGGTATAGTAGGACAAACCCGAATATTCACTAACTCACTTAAGAAAGCAGTGAATTGACGCTGATTTAAACCTCGAGATCTTATAAAATTTATAACTTTTTTTTATATATGACAAAACATTCTCCATATTTATTACTTTCGTGCATAGAACTTCTTGATGTATAATACAATGCATATGATGAATGTTTGGAACCGTTGAATTTCACTAAGTTTTTTTCTTAGTAATGCTACGAAGCCCTTGTTTTTCCCGATCATTGATGGAGCGCCATCTGTAGCTACAGAATTTAATTTTGCCAAAGGTGGATTGCATTTCTGCAGAAGTCCAAAAACACAAGTAAATATATCTTCTCCTGTGGTAGTACCAGGCATCGGTATTAGTTCCAGTAATTCCTCAAAAATGTTAAAATTCTTGTCACAAGAACGAAGAAACACTGCTAATTGAGCTTTACCACTAATGTCCGTGCTCTCGTCACAGGGCAATGGAGAAACTTTCGAAACTACGTAGATGATTTTGCTTTGATCTGATCACTTAAATTCGCGACTAAATCAGTAACTCTTTCCGCAACTGTATTTCGAGACAATGAAATTGATTGAAAAGCCTTCACATTTCCAGGACAAACAATTTCTCCAGCTTTCATTAGGCATTCCTTGATGAAATCACCGTCAGTAAAAGGCTTCGAATGTTTAGCTATCAACTCGGACAAGACGTAGCTTGCATGTACCGCCGCTTCACTTTCTTGCAATACTTTACTAAACATGGACTGTTGCTTTTTCACTCCTAACTTGAGCTCTTTCAACTTTTCTTTTCTTCTCTCATTAATCCTTCGTAATTGTTATATTTCGATTTGTGTTGTTCGTAATGACGTTTAAGATTATATAACTTTGGTACATTAATAGTATTATTACATATCAAGCAGATTATTTTATCTTTTATTTCACAGTAAAAATATTCTAATTCCCATTTTACTTGGAATATTCTATGTTCGTCAGCGATTTTTCGTTTAATTTTACTACCACTTGGTTTTGATATAGACATACTGAATACAAAGGGCTGAAATAAACACGGTTAACGTTAAAAAGTTAACAAAAATTTATTCTTTCCACAAGAGATATATCAAAATGCTGAAATATTTCTTCAAAAATATTCCAACAATATCACAAAATGTCAAACGTTTCGCAAAAATCAATTAAAAACAGAGAAACTAATTCTATCTCACAGCGAAATCGCTACAAATCAATCACAGCATTAAGTAAACAAACAGTTCGCTAGAACTACAGCTACTACTGAGATGAGTTGTTTGTTCTCGGCTTTTATAAGCTTTATAATTAATTTCTCGAATATACTGGAAACATCTATAAATATCTGGATTTTTGTGGATGGCAACAGCAATTACGAGATATTTATTTATTAGGTATTAAATGCACGCGCTGTTCTATTTTTAACCTTCCAAAGCAGCTGTCTTTTCAAAAATCGTCTGCGTTGCTAAGGCAACATGAAGCAAATCTAATAAGAAATACAAATATTGCGATATTTAATTTTTAATAATTTTTGTTTTTTTATTTTTTTCGATATACATCTGTAGGGAAAAAACAATACTTGGTCTATATGTATACAAATTCTTAAAATTGTCTTAGCAATAAACATATCATAAAATACTTTCGAACGAGAACGTACATTTACAGTAAAATTTTACTGGGTTTACAAAATAAAAAAAATTATTTTTTTCTGAATGGAAGAGAGATCAGTACATATGTTATGATTTTACAGCAATTTGTTTTAACTTTTATCCATAACTTCAAGTTAAAGCAAAGAATTTCATATGCTATGTCGATATGAAATTTTGTTAGTAATGAAAATCAATAATATCATTTTATATCTTATCACATGAAACGTAACATCTTTCAGATCTTAAAGGCAGTATTCATATTTTTCTCAATTATTTCAAAGATAAAAAATATTATGAAAATATTCCGGCAATTACGTTTAAAATTCTTCATCTATTACTGAAGTTTTATTTGGATGGGAAATATTTCTTACTACCTTTCAGCTACTGTGTTTTTATCTTCCTGCATTTTATACATGAACTTTATTTTATTAGTGAATGTATTAAAAATATACATTCACTAATAAAATAAAGTCTATTTCTCTTAATACTTTACGTAGTGATAAATACTAATCAGCACTTATCTTCTCGTTGAATAAACAACAGATTTTTGATAACTCCTTCCTAGATAATTAATTCATTCATTAATTTGGATATTTAATGCTTTTTAACATCACAGCTACAAAACTGTTTTTTCCCCTCTTGGTAGAAAATTAACTGTTAAATCACTTGAAGTTATAATATTGATATTCTAATTTGAATTAATGAAGTTAAGTTTGATATACATCATTTTCGTTTACATCGTTAAGTTTTTTACACTTTTCTCTTGCAATTTGATTTAACTTTATTTTATTATATGGAAAATGATATATGCAAGATATTTCATATTAATAAACTGTTATTTACCTTTATAAGTCGGTTTCTTACTGGATGCCATACTTCATGACCGAAACAAATTCCTTTTCAGTATTTGATGTGCTTTTACAGACGAATAGAATGCCAAAGGAGGATAGTATTCAAGAATAGCAGCATTAATGTATTAGCCATTTGATAATCTTATAAAACATGTTAGAATAGTAGCAACTTATTCACTGAATTAACGCAAACTAACTTCTCGTATTTATTGTTTCTCACTTTGAATATCAGGTAATTACGTTGGATCAGATAGTTTCACATTCAATCTCTCCTCTGTTTCCGCTAAGAAGAACGGGAAATGCTAGTTGTATGGATGGGGGGAGGGGAGAGAAGCTTCCGATAATCAAACTAAAAACGAAGCGTTATCTTTTAAAAGTGTTGAAATCACGTAATCATAAATACATTTATCTCTAGGCTGATGATCTACGTTCGCTCGAAGTGAGATCATGTATTGTATTTTAATGAAGTCCTTTTGAGACGTTTTACTGTTTTGATATCCGATGTAAACGGGAATAACAGCATGTACATACAGTTCATATTTTTAAAATTTTAGGTGAAAAAAAACTTTATTGTGTTTAGTCGATCGCAAGAAAAAGCGTATTTCAATCATATTTACAACGTTATACTAAACTAGTAATTTCCCGATCTCTAAAGAATCAAGTAATGCTTCAAAACAAAACGACTAATCAACGTACTTGTATCCTGTCCAACGTTCAACCCTTGTTTGCAATCCCCAGGGATCTGTCTCAGATAATTTTTGTGATGTGTTAATACTGATGTTAACTCTTGCCGATTGCTCAGAAAGAATTAAATTTTTTTGACTATCCGATGATCTCTCTCAGATTATTTTAATTACTCTCATTTTCGAAAACATTCCTTGTAAGCATAAACTTCTTAATTAGTTGAGTACATCCACTCCACACACATTTTTGCTATTTCCCCTTCTTTCTTCTTCTCCAATTTTTTCACTTCGTCTTACTGAATAATAGATTCTGATGTTACCGCTAACGATGGGGTTAAAGTTTACAATAGGGTGCCCCTTGATATTTTTGGCGATCAAAAGTACTAACCTCGTGTGTTCTTGGCTACTTCTGACCGTCAGCTTCGGATGATTGCTGCGCATACATTATATGCAAATCATGTAATCCCGGAACTGATCCTCCTTCTCCTGACCCCGGTATTGGCGACCAATACCTCAATGGTATTGGTATGAGCGCCAGTTTTGAGTGCCTTTCTCGTGACAAACTCTCTCGTAGCCGTTCAATTAATCCCTAAGCTTGACCAGATGCATATCTTTCGTACAGACTTAAACATTCATAGCGACAACTAATTAAATCTTCATTTATGCACCAGTCAGTTACCCTTTCGCTCTAAATCAGGGGGGGAGGACGAGTATTTATCTTACCAAACATATTTCTTTCTGTAAAGGACGGGACAATGATTAATTAGAATCAACAGCTAACGAAAATCAAAGGTCAGTTAACGGCAATTAAAATTCTAACAAATCACGTAGCCCGCAATCACTAAAACAAGAATTTCCAATCAGATTAATTGGATGCCGACATGCTTGCCGGTATCTGGCGTGAAATTGAATATCGACTTGATATTTTCCGTGCGACGAAAGGGGCACACGTGGAAGTTCATTGACAAAGGGCATGAAACGTTTTGAGTCTATCTAACCATTTATGTTATTAATTTTAATCTATCTTTATTATTTTATGAGTTATTAAACATCAAAATGGGTCCGGGACTTTATAAACACCCTGTAATTTTCTCGGTTTATGATTAGCAAGCTATATCAGATTTTCGGATAGCAGAAAAAGGTTTTATAACTAACTTAAATTGCTACTAATAAAATTGAGTTTGTTCACCTTAAATCTTTCTTCAACTGTGGCTTTAATAGCATGTTTTTATTACATGAATTTCATTTCCTGGCAAAGTGTCAATTGTTCCTATAAGGTGGGTTTTTTTTCCAGCTTTATGCGCAAGCAATTACATAAGAAGAAAAAAAAATAGTGATAATAATTTACATATATCATAGCAATTTTGTTATCGCTTTTTTAAACAGCTCATTTTAATACATGATTTTATGTTTTGAATCTTGCTGAACAGCTCAACTTAGTGAGAGAATCCTATCATTTCTTTATGATCTTGAGAAACCGTGTGAGATCTGATTAGAAGTACACACACAAAAAATGTGTCAGTTGCTTTAACAGGAACGACAACTGAAAGTACAAATTATTAAACAAGTATGAGTTTAATATTAAAGCTGAAGAGATGATCGTGAAATTTGTACAGGTTGCAGGATCTCATTTCTGGAGTAGCCAAACACACTAAAAGAGGTTGCTTCCTACATCAATGCTTACTTTTTCTGAGATATTTATCTATCCTGACATATAGGGAGTATCTGCCGAAAACATCGCGGACGAAAACGTCGCAGGGAAAACAACACAAGGCGAAAACGTCGTCATACAAAACATCGTGGGAGAAGAGAAAGCAAAGAGAAAACATCGCAGCTCTAAAACATCTTAGTCCGTGGTACGTGGTACACTGCGAAAAAAAAGGGGGGACAGTTCTATATCTCCCTTTCTACTGGGCTGATTGACAAAATTCATATTGCGTTTTTCATGTCTCTAAAGCACGACTTAGATATATATTACATTTATAGATAGCATTGTTCTAACATAGGTATTTTGACACAAAATCGGACGTTTTTTAAAAACCATACCAATTTTTTTTCGTATTCGATTCTACAACTCAAATTATGCTTACATATTAAATTTTGTAAAATTTGGAGCCAGATTTACGGAGAAATTCAAAAATTTATTTTGGCGGAATTTTTTCAGTTTGAGCCAAGAATAATGCACTTGGCGAACTTCTTAACATGTGGCAACCAATTTTCCTTTCCCTTCCATTATACAGGAGCCTAAAAAAAGGCACCTCGTTTCTACCTTTTTACATTGTGCATGAGCGGAAAAAAATAACAGCGTTTCTACTTCCAAATAGATTTAGCAAAGTGTCCAAACCACATTTGATGTTTTATCGCTTTCAACAAATATGCCAAATTTTAAAACGCGCCAGTATATAAATTCACGTAGATCTTAGGAAATTTTGATTAAAAAACTGTAATTTTTTCAGATATGCTTAGAAATACGTCTACTTTAAGATGATAGTAAAAATTTTATAGATTGTAATTAAAAATGTTTTTTAAAAAATTATAAAATATATTTAAAAATTACAAATTTTAAAAATAAATCATAAAAATGTATGAATTCTATTTGGAATGAACCTTAATTTCGAGTGTGAAAGGAAGGATCAAATAAGTTTCATAAAAAAAAAAAGAGATTAATAAATATATGCCAAAATCAATTAACATTAAGGAGCTAAATGTTTTAGAACTAGTATTTTAAAAACTACTCATGCGATTTTTACAAAACTTGGTACTTTGGTGTAATTCGAGTCGTAGAATCGAAATATAGAAAAAAAAGGATATGTTATTTTAGACAGCCCGATTTTGTATCAGAATCCCTATATTAGAACAATGCTATATATAAATCTAATAAATATTCTACGTTGCGCTTTCGAGACACGAAAACCGCAAGTTGAATTTCGTCAATCGGCCCAGTCGGAAAGCGGAAACTATTTCTTCCCCCCCCCGCAGTGTATTTATCGTGGTCGAAAATAAAGCGGTTCAAAAACATCGCAGTTTAAAAACATCGTCGTTGAAAATATCACAGTAAAAAAAAAAAGTATCTACAAATCATCGCATGATGATAACATCGCACACATGCGTTTTCAAGTTTTAAAAGTTGTAAATGCATGTTCGCTTAATGATTTGGGAGCTCGAGAAGGAAAGAGCGATTCTTTTACTTCCATATTTCATATTTTTGTATGAACTAATCAATTACTGCGGAAAAATAAGATAAACTTAAGCATTTAAAAATAGAAAATTAACGCAAATTATAGAACTTAATAGAATATGAAATTTGCATAGTTAATTAACAAAGTCAATAAAAAATTAACCTTTCTTTATAAAGTTGTTTTGATAATTTTCATGAAAAATGCAGTCTAAAAATGCTTAGTACAAGGAAAGTAAATAACTGCATAAGGTTTCCTCTATAAAAATTGCTTAGTTAATTATGAAATTATTTTCTTTTACATTTGTTAATCTAATACTGTTTTAGTGAAGATTATATCTTTGTGTCCATTTATTCTTTAAGTGTCGTTAACATTTTCACGTATGGCGGGCAATCAATTTTGTGGATGTCTAGTTAAGATGAAAGTCTGTTACGCTATATGTCAGTATGGGATTTGAAAAACGCATGTGTACGATACTATCGTCATGCGATCATTTGTAAGTACTTTAATTTTTACCTCGATATTTTCGACGAAGATATTTTTAAACTGCGAAATTTTTTAACCGCTTTATTTTCGACCACGATATTTTGTACCATGATGTCTTAGAACTGCGATGTTTTCTCTTTGCTTTATTTTCTCCCACGATATTTTGTACCATAACGTTTTCGCTTTGCGTTGTTTTCTCCGCGAAGTTTCCGTCCGCGATGTTTTCGGCTGTAACTCATAGTAGGGTAAACTACGAAATTATTTTACAACCACATAAACACTAGCCGCCGCATCGCAGACAAGTTTTTCTAACATTAAATTGACAAAAGCTTGTTTGTATCAAGAAAAATTGAATTCTCTTACATTTGTGTACATAGAAAAATGATATTGCCCAAGAATTACATTACGAAAGGGATATAAATTTACAGTAGGTTGCATTTATAATAGACTGCAAGTGCTAAAAATGTTGTGTTTTTAATTAACTAAATAAAGGTTGTATAGAGACATTAGGTTCTTTTGAAAGCAGGCGAGAGGAAAAATGAGCAATGCCTTCGCCGGAACTCAAACCACGGACCTCTCGAATACGCTTCGAACGTGTTGACCACTACACCACGAAGGCATGCTATGAAGGCGGGAGAAATACCTTATAAGTGTATCATGATTTGTATGTTTTTTGTCATGATGTTAAAGATACACAGGTCGCTAAAAATGCTGAAGACGGGTCTGCTAATAGAATTGATTCTAAAAAATCTCAAGTCAAATCGTGGTGACAAACCACAGTTATTACTCTAACCGGATATCATATGTTGCGATTTATTCGTCTAAGTGAGTACATGAAAGCGGAAGTATTCAAAAGCAAATTCCAGATCATTTACAAAGATTTAGGGAAGGTAATTCTACAGACGTTCAGCGGATATAAGCAAAATTCTAGGTTTAGCATCATAGAGAACATTTAAATAACACCAT